GTTAGTTTGTTTGTTCTTTGACGTCTCTCTCGAGAATTTTTCACTCATATGGAGACGCCACCATTTGCCGGCGGGGGCTGCAAATTTAAACCTTTACTCGGCACTCAGGGCCATTGAGCAGTGAGGGATCTTTTTCGTGCCAACACCTACTGCGACACGGGACCTCGGTTTATACGGTCTCATCCGAAGGACCGGTCTCCACGTCCCGCAGTGGGATTCGAACCCGCGACGTAAGGATCAGCTTCTTAAATTACTCTGCGACTCTAGAGCAGACGCTCTAACCATTGTGCCACGCGGGGGACAATATATAAACGTAATCATGGTAATAACTTCAACTTTTCAATCGTCAACTTCCCCTATTTATGCAGCAGTATACCATAATCACCGCATATGGGCTTTGTGTCCCCAGTTGAGTCGATACGCAAGAGCATGTTCTAGGTACAAACAATAAATTATTTCTAAAACAAGGCAGCTATTGACAAATAAGTTGATGATACAGGGATATAAACAATCTCGTGTAAAGTCAGCCTTTTGCAAATTTTATGGTCGATACAATGACCTTCTTTGCAAGTACGGTCTATCGTTAGATCGACTTTCAAATTAATTTTAAGGTCATTAATTATTTACACACTAAATTGTCTACATATTTTTCCGCTTTCATGATCATGGCAAGAGGCACATGGTGGGTGTGACCCCTCGACAGGAAATATTCACTCCTCCGAAGGACCTGATCCCATCCCTGTTTTCAGAGGTCTGTGCTTGCTCTGCTCACACGTCGTATTGTTTAAATGGATTTTGGAACGCCCATTTCATATATAAGGTGAGAGAGAAAGACATTGATGGCAAATTTATAAGTAAACTTTATGATAAACGTGATGACTTTAACTTTTCTATTGTCAACTTTCCTTATTTATGTAGCATGCTCTACCTATGAGCAATGTCTAAAAATAGACAGGCTGTTGACAAATAAGTTGATGATACAAGAATATCAACAATCTTGTATTAAGTCAACATTTTGCAAATTTTATGGTCAATACAATGACCATGTTTGCAAATACAATCTATCGTTGGATAAATGTTGACTGACGTCGTCCATACAAATTGTTACGCCATTCTTTTCACTCTGAATTGTCTACAGATCTTTCGTTTACCCGACCATGATAAGGAGCACAAGATGCTTCAAAGAAAACTGTACTAAAGGTATCTGTTCTGTACACGTTCTATTTAACGATATGATTTTTTTTTCTTCTTTCTCCACATTTTTACTATTTACAGGACCAAAGAAGCAACTGAAGATACCTTTTTTTGGTGCAATACAAATGTTCCATGGACGGGGTACTCATGTCCTTAAAACATATTTCTATAAATGAGCTTTGCAGCTATTCATTTTCAGTTGTTTTAGATGCATATCCTGGACACCATGAAGCCTTAAAGATCAAATTTTCTCAGGTTATGAAACCCAGGGGGCGTCGGGATGTGGCAGCCAAGATATAGGTCACAGTAACCATTTTTTTTTTTAAATTTTGGCTATTCATTATAAAATCATTGAAGTTTAATATTTTAGATAATAAGTGGCTTGCAATCATCAAATTTTGTCAGTTTAAGCATCTTTGACCATAAAGTTTTGGCGTATAATTTTCAAATAGTTAAACCTATGTATTTTTAACACTATGATATGTAGGTAGGGCCATCAAAGCCAATAGTTGAACCCCATGATATCTTTCTATTCAAAATTAGCTCACAATAATCTACTTTTTGAATTTTATCACTATTCCATTAATGTTTAGCTTGGATACAATGAGAGGTCTAGGATCATTAAACCTTTGTCAGTTAGTGTATCTTGGGGTCTTTGGATAGATTTACCCAAATATTGTTCACAGTGAAATACTCCGGATCCTTGAATTTCTTTGCAGTTCATTTTAAAATTTCATATATTTTGAACAATATGACATGTAGGGTTCACCAAACATAAATAGTTGATGTTTTTTGAGGCCCCAAGATTTCTCAATTTAAAAGTAGGTCACGAGACCTATTTTTGAATGTTATTAGAGGCCCAAGGGCCGTAGCGGTCACCTGAGTACAATACAACAATTTAGAGGATCCATAAACTGATAAATGAAGCTTTGTTGCCCAAAAGCAAGAAAATAGTATGATTAGCATCAACAAAATAATTGGTCTAGTATCTATCTGTCCCCCATTTATCACTATTACCATGCAGACCATTAACAAAGTGTCTATTATTTAACCCCACATTATCACTTCTCACATTGGCCTTTCTTGGCCTTTGAAGAACATTTAAAAAGATAAGTTTTTTTTGTCTCATTTTTATTCATCTATTACTTCCAAGTCTACCTGATCATTAAAACTATGAAAGTGCTTTTTGTATTATACAATAAATATTCTGGCGTAATTCTCGTATTCTATTAACCTTTCAAATACATTGTTTACAGTGATTAATTATCAAAGGTGAATGGCAAAGGGGAATAAATTTGCTCAGCAGAATAAAAGTTAATAGAGCCCTGGCAAGGACAGAACACTTGACTAAATGGTCCAGGTGTTCAAAATTCTTTTAAAAATACCTTTGCATATTAAAATTTTACTCTGTTTGCCTCGAATATGCCTAGAAGCATATAAGATTTTCAAAGAAATGCATTTTCACTATATTATTAAATAAATAAAGCCCCACCTTTACATCAGAACATCTGACCCAGGGACCATGAACTCACAATTCTGGAAGAAGCACCCTTGCTCATCATAACTATACACTTGTTTCTTTGCTTTATAACCAGTAGTGGAAAAAATATTTTGAAAGAAATTATGCATTTTTTCTATATAATCAATAGAGCCCCCCCCCCCTCTTCACAAGAACCCCTGACCCAAGGACCATGAATTTCACAATTTTGGAAGAGGCATTCTTCTTTATCATAACCATGCACTTCCTTTGTTTGAATAATACCCAGGAGCAGAGAAGAAGATTTTGAAAGAATTTATGCATTTTCCCTATATAATCAATAGAGCCCCGCCCTAACACCAGCACCCTTGACCCAAGGGCCATGAAATTCACAGTTTTGGAAGAGGCAACTTTGCTCATCATAAATATGTACTTAGTTTATTTAACATTCGGGAGCAGAGAAGAAGATTTTCAAAGAATTAATGCAATTTTACAATATAATCAATAGAGCCCCGCCCTAACACCTGAACCCCTGACCCAGTGGCCATAAAACTCACAATTTCTGAATAGGCAGTCATGCTCATCGAAACTATGTTCTTAGTTAATTTATTTAATACCCATGGAGCAAAGTATATTTTCAACAACTAATGCATTTTCACTATATAGTCAATAGAGACCCGCCCTAACACCAGAACCCCTGACCCTGGGGCCATGAAAATCACAAAATTTTGGAAGAGGCACTCTTGCTCATCATAACTATGTACTTAGTTACTTTATTTAATACCCATGGAGCAGAGAAGAAGATTTTCAAAGAATTAATGCATTTTCACTATATAATCAATAGAGCCCTGTCCTAACACCAGAACCCCTGATCCTGGGGCCATGAAATTCCTAATTTTAGAAAAGGCACTCTTGCTCATCATAACTATGTACTTAGTTACTTTATTTAATACCCAGGAGCACAGAAGAAGATTTTCAAAGAATTAATGCATTTTCACTATATAATCAATAGAGCCCAATCCTAACACTAGAACCCTTGAGCCTGGGGCCATGAAATTCACAATTTTAGAAGAGACACTCTTGCTCATCATAACTATGTACTTAGTTACTTTATTTAATACCCATGGAGCAGAGAAGAAGATTTTCAAAGAATTAATGCATTTTCACTATATAATCAATAGAGCCCTGTCCTAACACCAGAACCCCTGATCCTGGGGCCATGAAATTCCTAATTTTAGAAAAGGCACTCTTGCTCATCATAACTATGTACTTAGTTATTTTATTTAATACCCAGGAGCACAGAAGATTTTCAAAGAATTAATGCATTTTCACTGTATAATCAATAGAGCCCAATCCTAACACCAGAACCCTTGAGCCTGGGGCCATGAAATTCACAATTTTAGAAGAGACACTCTTGCTCATCATAACTATGTACTTAGTTATTTTTTTAATACCCAGGAGCAGAGATTTTCAAAGGAATAATACACTTTCACTACATGATCTATATAGCCCCACTCAAGCACCAGAACCCCTGACCCTGGGGCCATGAATTTCACAATTTTGGTAGATGGCTCAATGCTTATTACAATCATGCCAACAGTTTGACTGCTTGATGTCCATGAGTAAAGAAGATTTTTAAAGATTGCATTAATTTTAGTGGTTTTAGCCCCACCCCTCAGTCCCCATGGGGGCAGGGACCATGAAATTCACAATTTTTGTTCCCCTTCACACATAGATGCTATATGCCAAATTTGGTTGAAATTGGTTAAGCGGTTTCAGAGAAAAAGCTAAAAATGTTCAACATACCCTGGTGACCTAAAAAATAAGGGAGAAGAATTTTGAATATGCACAAAATATGTTTTACGAAATCCTTAAATGAATTATGGACTGACATGAAAGATGGTCTTCAAGTAATAATTCTGTCTACTAGTATTTATTGGTAAATCCCAATACGTTTATCAAAGGTCTTTCAATAATAAATATTTACACCACCATTGTCATTAATTCAAGTTTTGCACTACTAGTATTTTAAAACTACTTGCATCTAATGTGCTAATGAAATCAATCCTGACATTTAACTCTGAAACTATAGGGGAAAAAAATCTCTAAAACATTATGGATTAAGAAAATGTTCATGAAAACACAAAGTGAAAATTTTTGCAAATCCAGATTGCACATATCACAAAGGTGTGTGTGTGCACACATATTTACATGATGCAAATTATTTGAATGCAGATTTAACACCTTTGTAATATAGGGCATCAAGAAATGCAAAAACTAATTATCAAACACAACTACAAATTTTACTCATAAATACAACAGAACTCCATTAATCTTATATTGGTAATACACCTTTATTGCTCCATAAATTGTACTTATTGTACAAGGAACAAAACATTAATTAGTCACTTCTCTCACTCTCTTTGGCAGCTTTCATAACCCATTCTCAAATTGTGTTAAAAAAAACAAGTCCATAACAGAAACATTCAGATATCAAAAATGAAAAATAACTTATATGTACAGATGACAATTTTCCAAGAGGTACATGTAACAAAGATTATCAAAATTCAACAGATGGAATACACTATACAATAATCAACAGATGAGTGATAACACAATGTAATTGCCTTGTCAATATTTCATCTCCCAGAGTGAAAGCTTTGCTTCACAAATGATGGTTATCTATGACACAAAATAATACAATTATTAATATTAATGGAAATGAATAATGAATGTGTTTGAAAAATTAGATATGTGACTTATTAGTTATGTGATAAATGAAATGTGATCAATGAATTACCACAGCGTTTATTCAAACAATGGGGGGCCATTTGACCAAGTTTGCTTGAATTCTGTCATGAATATACAAGTTACTTTCAAGTACTTGCTAAATAGGAATTGAACATTGCGTGATTCATCTACATTGTAAGTCCTGAACACAAATTCATTAAAAACTACAATCTGGCTAGAATCTAGAAAGAACTGCTGTTAAAACAATACAGTGGTCTAATTAAGGACACATTTCACTTTTAGCAAGAATAACAGCATGTCTGATTTTCAGTATTCTACCTGAGATGTGAGCATATGTTTTCTAACATTTCCACTACTTTTTATTTCTTGAATATGAAGAAAGGGTAAGATGTGATCACAATAATTTTAAAAAAAAAATCAAGTTGAGAATATTGCAAATGAACTTTTTCCCACAGGGTCATATTTCCATGGAATTGCAATTTCTATTTAATCCACAAAAAAATTCAGATTTCTTAGATTGCCCTTGTATGCCTTACATGTACTTTAAGTATGCTTGGACAAATTTCTGTCGAAAATTTGTGACATACATAGCATATATCAGTACCATGCAGAAAAAATTCTTCTACAGTATTCTATAACATGTTGAAAGAAAAGCATGGACACTTTACCATGAATTGCAGGTGTTTCTTGCACATGATGTTAAACAGTGTTATTTACATTAAACATAATTATACATGTACATATAATACATGAATTTGTTAATTAATGTGTTGTGAAAAAATCATACTTCACCAAAGCAGAAACCAGAGTTTACTTATCTTACACATATAACATTATAATGCAATGATGAAATTTGACAAGATTCAACAAGATGGGATGAAAAAAGGGAGATCAGACAATGAAATTAATTAGAAAACCTACTCATTATGCTTCATATTGGAAAAGCTGCTATTTATCAGAGCCAAAGGCATAGTATCTAATAACAAGACTCTGCAGTTAGCTGGACTCCGAATTTGCAAAAAGTGTGCTATAATTTCCCCCGATATTGTGTATATGTGAAAACACATTTTAATGCTTCAAGGACATTTTGATATACTGTACATAATTATGTAGATATGCTGAGTTCCTTCAGAATATTTGAGGATTTTTTTATTTATCAATTATATAAAGCACAGGAAAGGTATATAAACAACACTTAAAGGATCACTTTTACTGCCCCAGAAAAAGATTATCATATATTCATGCCTACAAACCCATAAACAGTATCCCATCAGTACACACGTACATGTATAATATTTAAAGTGAGTTACCAATTCTGAGACATTCAGCAGTTTTCATAAGAAAAACAGGAAAATCAACCATAGAGTATCTAATGAGAGTGGACATTTAATTTCTGAATTTGAACTGAGGGAACATTAATAGGGATAAAAACTATTTAACTGATATACCTACTGTATTGCTACATGTAAAAAAAATATTTAGATCCTGCCAAATTTTATATACTCTATAGCATTGCAAGTAAAGATTCTGCAGCAAACAATCAGAAATGATAGGCAAAAACCAAAAGCTTTAGGTCAGCAATTAAGAAAGTTAGAAAATTACATACAGACTTTAATACCCAAAGCAAGGTCTCTTTTCAATTTAAGTGATATAAAAAGAAACAATTTCTTTGAATTCAGAAAATTATTGATAAAATTTCTTCAAAAATCCTCATTTTGGCACAATCACCATTTGTACAATGCAAATGTATATTTCTAGGGAGGCACAGTAGAGACTCGATTTCTTTTCCTCAATTCCAGTTCAGGGTATCACAATACAATATATCGTTGTTAAAATTTACAAATTTTTCCCCTTTCAGTGTACCTCAACAAACAAAGAATGACATTATGCAAAAACAAACCAATATATTACTATAAACAATTTTTATAATAAAGTTGTGTGTGCTTCATAAATAATGAATACATATTTACAACAGAAATTTCTGCCCATTCTCCCCACATCATACATATTTCTGAATTCATGTTATCAGTATCATCAACTACATGGAATACACCAATATCACAGACAATATAGGAGGGAATGAGTAAGACAGCCCTCCCTCTATCAACACTTTTGTTAAGCACTGTCACCGAAATAATATACAAGGAAAATTACTGAAGCTTACAAGAGTTAACTTTTCATCAATCAATTCTTTAAAATAAAAAAAAAGAACAAATCCAGATGGTACTGTGAAACATAAGGCCCCCCATAGAACTGTCAGATTTGATCTTAATTTGTCAAAATGACCTAATACAGTCTATCTCTGTATAGTATACAGCTATAGTTTGGCAGATCAAAAATGGAAAATGGATGTTCAACCTTGGGGGTATACATCTTCAAAAGCTTATTACAATTCATTTACATGTAATTGCTGGCTCATTGTTAATTTATGTAATGTTATTAACAACCAAATCAAAACAAAAATGTAGAGGATTGGCTTTGGATGAAAGAAAAATGCTTGGTAATGAACTGCACATAAATTCAAATTAAAAAATGGTTTTACAACCCAAAAGTGAAATAAAAATAAAAATGCTTGGTAATCAAATGAGCATATTATTTTGATTCAAAGTATTTCAAAATTTTTGCAAATTTGGTGTTAATGCATGCTAGTTCACAAATCTTTCACACATTTCAAAACTAATATAAAATGTCTTGGTTCATATGAAATTGCTGCAATGAAATGAGAAAAATCAAACCTGGGATGAAAATGGTAAGATAATCAAATACATTATGTTAATGTTAAATTTACACAAGTTAATTATTCAAAATGCATATCCATTTACTGTCAAAATCATTTGAGTACTGAGAACTTAAACAGTTCATTTAAATACATAGTAAAATCTAGGTTAATTAATTACATTGCATTTCAGCCATCGTTAAAGTTATAGCACATATGGATTACATGCATATTAACAAGTGACAAAATTTTTGGGAGCATTTTGTGTGCTTGAGTTTATATAACCTGAGCCATAGCCACATGTTTGCAATCAAAATCTATGGGCAACATAATGACCATGCATTATTCTGTACAGAAATGGAAAATGGCAAAGTTCATATTTGCAAATGGATACAAACAAATTTTGCAGATCTGCAGCATTCTCTTTGGACTTTCTGACAAGCATAACAAACTCCTTCCATTGCCTTAATTTTTTTTTTAATTTAATCAGAGATTCAGAGATAGTCAACTGATACATGTAATACATAAAAAATCAAGACATCAATCAAACAATTGGGGCCAAAGGAAGATATGCTGCCTTTTTTGCATCTAAAAAGAATTCAATTATGGCTTGCCTGAAAGACCAAGAAATATGCAATTGTGCCCCCCTCCTTCAAACCCTTTGTTCAAGTTTACCAAATAAGGTAATATGGAAGATAGGACTAAGAAAATATTTTATACTTAAGTGTACATTACAATTTTGAATTCCTGTATAAAAAATCATCTGGAGCTTGTGTGAAAAAATGCTAACTTAATATAATTGCTTTGTACTATATGAATCAAACCTCCAAATAAAAATATCCTGGATCAAGTTTGACAATGAAATGTTAATATACTGTACTGAAGTGGGAATATGTGTGAATCTTTTGACAATCTTGAGAGAGAAAGTGTGTACAGATACAATAATTAAAATTCATGTCAGTGTTCAAATCTTTGTATCCATGAGAATGACGGGTGCATTAAGGATAGAACCACCCCAAAGAGTAAAATGAACAGTCAGATCTTAATCTAGGTCATATGTTGAATATACTGCAGAGCAGTGGCTATTGGCTACAGATAGCTGCAGTTTATGGAAACACTGTATGCTTGGACACTGTATGGACACCTCCTTAAGTTGCTGTTATGTCATATGACTAGGAGAACTAACCACCTGTTGCTGTGACACGTCTTCATTGCTGGCTATATATAGTGTGGGCTGCTGACCAACCCCCGACATCCCTAGACTAGCCACATTCAAGGTTAATGACCCCGTTGGTACAGCAAACTTGCTGGAGGGTTTGCCGATCAGAAGATTGCCTGGTTTGAGGAGATGAGTGGCATAGATCTGGCTGACCTGGGGACCAGTGCTGGTTGCTATCACTGTGTTGCCAAGCATACCATGACCAGCTGATTGGGAATGCACTGGCTTTTTATGATGTAGTAAGTTGTGCCTGTTGTTAACCAGTTTGTCTAGGAACAAAATATATCATCCATGAAAACACCATCTAAACACTCAAAATAGTAACATATTATAAATGATCTTTGTATTCAATAATAGATCACAATTTTATGGAAGTCCTTTCCCCTTAAGCCATGACATGAGTTTGTGTTTTCTTTATATATTTCTTCATAAATCTTGAGAGCTCCATAAAGTATTTCTATTTAATGCATAAGGCAATGATGTATAAAAAATATATATATTTATGTTTCAGAGTAATTTGAAAACTTAAAGCTTCTTTCTTCAGAGATTTAAGAAAAAAAATCCTTTCACAATGCAATATAAAACAGTGAAATCCAACCCAACCTAATACTGTCCTAAGGACAATGACTTAAGCAAACTTGATTTTACATGACATGATGATGATGATGCCTGCATGTAAATTTAATAATTAGTAATCCCAAAGTTCTTGAGACCAAATTACTTAAAAGTTTTTTCCTTCATACTTCTTTATAACAAATACTAGGAAAAGTGAATCGTGGGACCTAACAGGTCATTGACCTCTGACCTTAATACAAATTTTCTGCTGTCAACATAGATTGATAAATAACCCACATTTATAGAACCCTGTACTATTTAAGGCATTACAGCAGAAAAATTATTCTGATGCTAAATTGGCATAAACAATTAAATATCTCTGTAAGGCCTACCTGAGGAAGACTGCACTAATCCATTGTGGAGCGAATTGACCACCTGTGGACTACCTGCTGCTCCCTACAAAAACAAATCATACCTGTAAAAAACTGTACTTAAGATCAAGTACATGTACCACTATAATAAACAACCTGGATACCCATGCCTAACACTAGCATGACTAGTCATTGTTACAAATGTACATAAATCAAGTTTGCATTTGTGAACAATGTGTATATACAAATTCAATGTTATGCATTTATCTAGCAGGAAATATATACAAGAGCAACATGCCTTTGATGTCTAGGGTTTATGCAATCAAAAGGACACTTTTCACAAAATATTTTTTTCATTGAGATGACACTTTTCAATGATATCTTTTTCATCGAGACAATCTCCTCTGCTTATCAGCTAAATAACAAGAGGCCCATGGGCCACATCGCTCACCTGAGTAACTTTGACCATGCTGGTCTTTACCAGATTTCCCCCTTCTAATACTTATTGTGGCCCTGCCCTACCCCTGGGGGTCATGATTTTAACAATTAAAAATCTACACTATCCCAGGATGCTTCCACATAAGTTTCAGTTTTTCTGGCCCAGTTGTTCTTGAGAAGAAGATTTTTCTTACATATTTCAATGTAAAATTGGATTCCCTATTGTGGCCCCAGCCTACCCCTGGGGGTCATGATTTTTATAATTTAGCATCTTCACTATCCCAGGATGCTTCCACATAAGTTTCAGCTTTTCTGGCCCAGTTGTTCTTGAGAAGAAGATTTTAAAAGATTTTTCCTATTTATTTCAATGTAAAACTTGGATTCCCTATTGTGGCCTGCTCTATCCCCAGGGGTCATGATTTGAATAATTTAGAATCTACACTACCCCAGGATACTTCCACATAAGTTTCAGCTTTTCTTGCCTAATGGTTCTTGAGAAGAAGATTTTTAAAGATTTTTCTTATATATTTCAATGTAAAACTTGGATTCCCTATTGTGACCCCGCCCTACCCCCGGGGGTCATGATTTTAACAATTTAGAATCTCCACTACCCCAGGATGCTTCCACATAAGTTTCAGCTTTTCTGGCCAAGTAGTTCTTGAGAAGAAGATTTTTAAAAATTTTTCCTTTTTATTTCAATGTAAAACTTGGATTCCCTATTGTGGCCCCGCCCTTCCCCCGGGGGTCATGATTTTAACAATTAAAAATCTACACTACACCATGATGCTTTCATATAAGTTTCAGCTTTTCTGGCCCAGTGGTTCTTGAGAAGAAGATTTTTCAAGATTTTTCCTATATATTTCAATGTAAAATTTGGATTCCCTATTGTGGCCCCACCCTACCCCCGGGGGTCATGATTTTAACAATTTAAAATCTACACTATCCCAGGATGCTTCCACATAAGTTTCAGCTTTTTTGGCCCAATGGTTCTTGAGAAGAAGATTTTTAAAGATATTTCCTATATATTTCAATGTAAAACTTGGATTCCCTATTGTGGCCCCACCCTACCCCCGGGGGTCACGATTTTAACAATTTAAAATCTACACTATCCCAGGATGCTTCCACATAAATTTCAGCTTTTTTGGCCCAGCGGTTCTTGAGAAGAAGATTTTTTAATGATCCCACCCTATTTTTGTCTTTTTTTGATTATCTCCCCTTGTAAGGGGACTTGCCCCTTTATTTTAACAATTTAAACTCCCCTTCACCCAAGGATACTTTGTACCAAATTTGGTTAAAATTGGCCCAGTGGTTCTTGAGAAGAAGTTGAAAATGTGAAAAGTTTACAGACGGACGGACGGACAGACAGCTAGACAGACGGACGTACGGACGACGGACAATGGGTGATCAGAAAAGCTCACTTGAGCTTTCAGCTCAGGTGAGCTAAAAACATTAAATTTAGTAACTATACCTGTTTTTCAACACTGCTTTCCCAGATCTGAACGTATGTATATGTACAGTATTTATAATATACACATGTATGTTATGAACTACACTATAAAATAAATGCAATATCCTAGACTAAATCCCTTACATGAATATTACACCAGATGAAAAAAAAAATCCAAAAATTAAACAAAAATCTAGAAATAAAAAACATTTTGAAAATCTGTAAAGTAAAACAAAACTGAAATTTCTTCCATACTTACTGCCCTAATGTTGTTGGCTGAATTCAGATTAGATGGAGCCAGAGAAGTAGTGCTTCCCACTGACACAATCTGATTGCCAAGGGTCGTTGCTAGGGAAACAGGGGTCAAGACAGCAGTAACAGGCTGCATACATGTAGATCCATCGAGTAATAATGGCGGCATACTGATGAGATTATGAGGGCCTTTCTGTAAACCTTGTATGGTTTCCAGGTTAAGAATCTTTGGACTATTTTTACTGTTTATCACATGTGCTTGCTGTAGCGACTTTTCATCCAGAGACTGTGATTGATGAGCATTAGTAATCATATATTGTCCGTTCACAAGAGCTGAGTCGAGATTGGTCACCACAAACCCAACATCCTTATAAACATTGTTCTTGGCATTTTTCCCACCAGCGGCAGAGAGGTTTGCATTGAAATGGCTTAGAGTAGCATTACTTAGATTAACACTGGGAATGGCTATTGCAGTGAGACCAGAGGATGTGTTGTTTATACTGACTGTGGTAAGGACAGGGGCTGCCGCCGCTGTGAGAGAGGAAGGACTAGAATTGGTCAGTGCGCCACCACTACGTTTCCGCTTCAGTGGTGGCACACCTGCACTGGCTGCTGGAATAGCACTGTTTGTCTGCGCGGGACTTTTAGACCCCGGTAAATTGTCTTTTGATTTGTTGCGGTTCATATTTGATGAAGATTTGGATTTAGATTTAGATCCTGACTTATGGCTGGAGTTTAATACTGGACCTTGCTTCTGCAATGTTCTTGGATCTATGGCTGTGAAGTCATAAGGATCTTTAGAATTTCCTAACAACTGGGGCTCTTTTGGAAGATTAGATTCTACACACAACTTCCTGTAAAAAATAATATGTTTATTTAGTAACAAAGAATTCATGAAATGTGTTCCATTAACTAAAATCAGCTCTATGTTCACCAGCAATGGATTAAGTGATAATTTTTTCAATCTTGTTTCAAATTCAACATTTTTCCACTTTTAAGTGCATGTAAGTTTGAAATAAAGAAATAAATTTTTCTCCTTGAAAATCTACTCATTCAATCTTAATTACATAACAAATTTCCCAGTTTTTGTATGATGTAAAGACACTCTAGTTTGAGGATGCATTAAGGTTATTAAGGCATGACTTACTTGGGCGGTGGAGGATTGAGCTGCTTTTCAAGTACATTAAGGAATGCTGCCCTAAGAATGTCAGTTTTACGACCAAACACATAACTCCTTCGCCCCCCTATTGTGTGGAGCCTGCCTCCAAATGTACACATCTAAATGGAAAAAAAAAGTCAACACATACAGAATTTAGCAAACATTTTGTTGTAAATGCAGACTTTTTAAAATTGAAAACTGCAATTTTCCTTTCAAAGTAAATAAAACACTCACTGCTGCTGGTCGGGGATGGTGTGGAATAAATGAACTGTCTGATTTATCTCCCTCCTCCTCTTCCCCCTCCCCATCGCTCAGGCGCTCATGGCCATCCAGCGAGGGGCCACCACCGGGTTCATCCTTTGTGGGGGACAGCAGAGGGGAGTGAAGACTTGAGAGACTGGACCTGATGAATAAAACAACAATTCAAAATTAATTACCTTGAGAATGTATTTTACACTGTACTGAGCTGCTGTATCATTGATAATACAATGCTTCTGATAAATCAAAATATTTTGCAAGTTTAATCATTGGAAGTGATAGGACCAAGGACCACAAAGCTAACCTAAGTGATGAATATATATGTAGATTGATGAAATCCTTTCTGCTCATTTTCTAGTGACATTTTTTTTTCTTCATAAATATTATGTAAAATCATGGCTCGCTATAGTAGTCCTATCCTAGCCCTTAATTGGGGCAATAATGAAATTTGGAATCAAAACATAGTAAAGCAGCTTTTGTGCATATTTTGTACTTTCAAAATTTTTAAAAGACCCCATCCTATTTTCATTAACTCTTATTTACTGCATCTTGAAACCCCTTCATTTTAACAATATTGAACCCAATCACCCAAGAATTTTTGTCTCTTGTTTAGTTAATATTTATCGACATTATCGGAAAAATGAAGGACAAACTTTTATCAGAAAAGTTCATGGGAGCCTTTAGCTCTGCAGAGATTAAAATAAAAATGTTGTCTGTTTCTCAGTGAATAACTAAATATTGAGATGCTGACTATCTTAATGTGCCCCACTTTTAATTATTTTAAAGGACAAAAGGAGGTAATGGGGACTTGAGCAGGACTGCAATGGAGAGGATATTTATGTTATCTTGAAAGAAGTATACATCCTTTCCCAACTTCAGGCAACTTGGTTTAAAACAGCATTTAGATAATGAAAACCAAAGATGTTTAGCTGAAATTATCATTCTTTCATGCAGTTTACACAAGAAACTATTTGACCATGATTTTTCACTTGGTTCAACCACTTCACTCCATTTATCCAAGGTACTCTACTGATAAGTGCAAACCTAGTCAAATGGGTCCAAGTGCAGAAATCATACTCCAGACAAAGATTTTACATAAAAATCTGCTTTGATCCTGACTACAGACTTATTAATTTGGTTTAAGGATACTGCACTCCCTTTACCTAAGGATACTCTTTAGTTGAAGTACTAGCTAGATTGAGCCATTGGGAGACAAAATAATCTCTGAACAAAGATTTTATAGGGATCCGTTTTGAACTTGACCTTTTACCAAGAAATTTGAATGAAGGTCACTTCATACTTTTAACCCACTGGCACTTTTAACACAATTTTAGAAAAATTCAACCATACTGATCACTATATGGTGCCTGTTGAGTGGGGCCTTCGCTACATGGAAGTTAACCTTTGATGTTGGTTTGCTTTATACCTTTGCTGGAGAGAGGTACTAAGCTTCTGGGGAGGTTTGGCAGTTTTCTTTGGTGAGAGCTGAGGGGGATGAGAGGATTTCTCCCTGTGCTGATCATTATATGACTGGAGAGGTGTGGGGTGGAGTAGATGGGCAGCCAGCTGGGAGCTTCCAGGGGGAATAACTGGAGGGTTCTTGAGTTGTTGAGCCTTCTTTTCAGCAGCTGCTTGTAAAGCAGCCTTTTGTTCAGCTTTCTGTTTCAGCAAAAGCTCTTTGGCTTCTCTGTGTTCCTTCAGTAAATCATCAAATGGTTTGCGTCGTCCTGGTACTTTTCTTCTCAAGGAAAGTGCATGTGTCTGTATAAAATACAATAAAAACATTAAATCTTTGCAGTTGATCAATACCTAAATTCTAAGTGATAAGGAGACACTAACCTGCTAGTACATACATTTCCTGCACCGGTGAATGACTCACTGATATAAACATTACACTGTCAAACGCATTTGATTGCTACACATTTTTGCAAACTTGATCATTCAACATGTTCAAACTTAAGCTTTGACATGGTGATGGTTCTATACATGCAACTGAGGCATTTCTCTATAGCATCTAAGGCATTACAACTGAAGTGTGTGATTACTAAGCTTTCAGTAAGGTGTAAATTTAAGGTGACCGATGAAATAGTTGCTTTGCTTCTATTCTAAATAATCTAATACATCTGAAACACAATGAGAAAAAAAAAACTTCACAGATTCAGAATATATTTGAGACAACATTATGAGCTAAAGTCACTCAGTGAAAAAACAAAAAAAATTTTTTTTCTAATTTTAGTCTATTATGGAAAAGTGAATTGCTTCGTATACAATAACATGAAGGCTTAATAATTAATTAATTTAAATGTATGTGTGAGCTTAATTTTTAATTCTACAATCATAATACTTTTTCCAAATTTTTAGAAAGTCGATTTGTTAATACAAATTTGTTTCTAAAGTTGCTATGGAAAACGTTTTTTATTAAAATAAATTAAAATTGTGCATCAGACGAACCGTTGTCTATCCAATTAATCCACAGCAAAAATGTTCAAATATACAGATATTGCATGTATGTAAAGCATCATGCTGTCCCTCAGGTTATATGAATGCACTTCCTACCATAATAAAATTTATTTCTCCCCTTATAACATTGTTTAAATTTGTTAATTCAATTAATCAACTCGTTTGTCTGTCCTAACGTTGCGGGCAAACACATAACAAATAAAATTCAGTATTTCTATATATTGAACCTCTCTGGGACCCCTTTTACGACTTAAAGCTTTGAAAATATAAGAAATGACTGTATCACCATGATCACATGTCTACAGTATGTCAGTCTCTTCACAAGATGGCGCCAACCAGGCCAGCTACAGATGAATGCGAGTCTGTAAGCATGGTAAGTGTCTCATATGTATTACCTATGCTACAGGCGAGGTGTGATCATCCGAACATGATTCGTTATCAGACACATGCAAAAATTTACACAACATCACATGGATTCTTGTGAATATTATGATCATGATGATGGTAATATTTATTTTAAATTAATTAAATTTTAATGAAGATAGCATGATTTAGTACTCTTATAATCAATGGTATTGTTACTGAGCTGTCTGATTTTAACCAATGTCAAGTCCAGCACACTTAACCAATGTCAAGTCCAGGAAACTTTCTAGGCAGGTGAACTTAATATATATTTTTGAACAAAAATTGAGTACTAATAAAATAAACTTTTAAGAATTTAATGGAATTGAAGCAATACCTTGAATGACTTCTTTCAACAGGATTTACCACAAACACAGACAGGAAAACTACTGCATAAATTTACAAGTAAGAAATGGTAATATAGAACCTTTTAAACACTTTTCTGTGTCTTTCTTTGATGTACTACTCCAGGTTTATATCTATAGACAAAGGGGCTAAAAATACACAAAACCCAAGATGCATCAACTGACAAAGTTTGATGATTCTAAGCCAATATGTACCCAAAATATTTAATTAAAGCCATAAATTTTCAAAAGTAGGTCACGGTGACCTACTTTTCAGTTGTCGTACTCCGAGGACCCAAGATGCATCAACTGACAAAGTTTGATGATTCTAAGCCAATTAGTACCTGAAATATTTAATTAAAGCCATAAATTTTCAAAAGTAGGTCACGGTGACCTACTTTTCAGTTGTCGTACTCCAAGGACCCAAGATGCATCAACTGACAAAGTTTGATGACTCTAAGCCAATTAGTACCTGAAATACTTAATTATAGTCATATAAATTGAAAAGTAGGTCATGGTGACCTACTTTTCAGTTGACGTTTTTTGAGGACCCAAGATGCATCAACTTACGAAGTTTTATGATCATAGGTCTTAAAATGTCCAAATTATGCCTCTAAAACGCTTTGAAATCAAATACCTGCAAAGTTCAAAAAGTAGGTCACTGTGACCTACTTTTTAATAAATAAGTTTTATGGCCCCAAGATGCATCATCTTACAAGATTTAATGATTTTAAACCTCTCGGTATTTGAATTAATGAACTTAATTGATTTGAAAAAGATTAGCCATTAAGCTCAAAAAGTAGGTCAAGGTGACCTACTTTTTAGTTAATGTACTTCAAGGACCCAAGATACATCAACTGACAAAGTTTGATGATCATAGGCCTTAAATTGTTCAAAACATGCCTCTAAATTATTTTGAAAAAGAATAGCCGAAAAATTTAAAAAGTAGGTCACCCTGACCTACTTTCGAGTCAACATGATATGAGGTCCTTAGATGCATCAACTGACAAGATTTGATGATCCTAGTCCTTATAGTAAGCAAAATATCAACATTTTAATAAAATGTAATTTTTGGTCAACTTTGAAGTGACCTTGAGACCACGCCCTTTGTCCCAGGGTAAATCCCCGTGCAAATTTTAATCTACAACATATCCTCATCTTTTTGTGTAAGTTTGGTGATAATCTGCCCAGTGGTTCTTGAGAAAAAGATTTTTTAGCAACCAGTACTTTTGTTTCTATTTTCCTGATTATCTCCCCTTGTTTAAGGGTCACAACCCTAGTTTTAGTATAAAAGGGAGCCCTTGGGCCAAGGATACCCTGTGACAAATTTGACAATAAATGGCCAAGAGGTTCTTGAGTTATGGCCCATATTCTAAAAAGTTTACATACACCGCACAAATGGCCATAGCATTAGCTCTTTGTGCCTTTGGCTCAGAAGAGCTAATAAATACTGCTTGTTTACATTTTAATAATAAAAAAAAAACCACATTTCCCGAAAAAATTGTCTTTTTTGCTTGTGCAGTTAGAGAGCTTAGATACTAAATGTCTCCCGTGTCAAAAACCGAGGCGTTATTTAGATTTTTTTTACTTTACTATATGTCACAGTAATTCAACACTGTACTGAAAACAGAGCCCAATATAATGAATCTCATAGGAATTTAATCTTAGAAAATCAATAAAAATTGTGTCCTTGATGCTACCTTAATTACAGGTATATTCTGAACATGCACATACCTTGCAGGTGAGTGACCTTGTACAAGACTTTCCTGTGTCTTCTACAAGCACACCACAGTGCTTATTACAATCATACTCACGATCTGAAAGAAAAATTTTTACTTTACCTTATCCAGATTCAGAAACATTTATGTCACACAAGTATGCATGGTAAAACCTGCAATACCATATTTCCTAACCCTTACAAAAATCATTTTTGTCCCATTACTGATATTAATTAGTAAAATTTTCGAGCGTGTTAAGTAAATCATGATAAGAATGCTATATGCTAAGAATTACATAAACTGTATATTATCATTATTTCCATTTATCTATGTTACAATAAGGAAATTCACAAAAACTTTTATTTCCTCACTCTCTCTCTCAAACAATAAAAAAATATTTCACAAAAATGTACCTTTGCAAGGAATTAATTTCTCTGGCTTCTCAAACTTTAATGGCTTCTTTTTCACGGATGAGATAGAACTTGAGCCGCTGGAGTTTAGTGAACTAGAGAGACTAGGCATACTGAGGCTGCCTCTGCCTCCTACGAGTCCTTTACTACTTGACAAGTTACTAGACTGTGTTGTTGCCATCGTTGTGGTACCTACCACTGACTTCGTGGTGGTTAAGCAAGAAGTGGAGGCAGTGGTCAGTGTGGTAGTTGCCATGGTAACAGTTGCACAGTTTAGAGAGACAGTAGTTTGTGGCAGGGAACCAGTTGAGAGAGATTTGAGTGGTTTATCACTGACAGAGGGGTCAACCCCAGAAATCACAGGTTTTACATCAGTCAATTCAAATGAGCTGTCTTTGGAATTTCCATTGGCTAAGCCAGAGGAAGGAGAAGTCTGAGATTTTGGTACAGGATCAAAGTGTTGTGATGACACTCTTTTCAATTCCATTCTTTCAACTTTAACCACAGGCATGGAGTGGTTTCTTCGACTCCTCTCCAATCCCTTGAACTTAGCATTGAGACCCAATTTCTGGGCATTACTAACCAATGGAGGAACCTCTTTAACACTTGCCTTTGTGGGAACAGAGTGTCCCATTCTAAAATTTGTTCGTGTTGGGGAGGTTAATTTGGAAGGGGAGGATAACTTTGATGTGGGGTAGGATTGCTCTGTTGAGGGTGAAGCACTAGACTCTGTGATTCCATGTCGCTCAACTAAAAATAAATAAATATGAGCAGGAATGTTGATGAGAAAATTCAACTGTTGAATCAACAGATATCCATTATTTCAAAAAATATTTTTTGTCAAAGCTGCTTAATATCTTGAGCATCAGAAACTGTAACAATAGCAGATCTTGATATGCATCATTATTGACTCTCAGTAAAATGTTCACATCAAGTATAAATACATGAATATTGTAAAATACAAAAAACAGTTCTTAGTCAAACTTGCTGGTTTTAAAAATGGCCTTCTTATAAACTGTGGCTCTTAAAAGTAAATTTTGTTACAGGCATGAAAATTTCAAAGTCTGAACATGCTGAATATGTTTGTCAAAAAGTCATAATTCTCAGGTAATGAAAGGATTGTTTCCAGAATTAAATGCCTATAATGGGAAATACCGGTACATTAATACCCTGTATGTAAATGTTTACTTATCAGTCAGGGGTGAGAATGAAATCCATCATATTGAAAAATGATTGATAACTGTCATTTCTACTAGCTACATAATGTATGTATTTTCATTATTTTTGCTAATGTGACTTGTTATCATCATATTTTCATTCCCACATTAATTCTTCCAACCCGTTTACTACAATAATAAGATGTAGTACACTATCTTGCAATGGACCCATGTGTAGAGAAATGTCTTGACAAACAATTCAAGTCAAAATAAAGTAGTGTGCCCCATAAAACAGTGAGATAATTAAGTGGGCCCTACCAATTTGAGAACAAAAAGATGAAATATTGTCATATTTATCTTCAAATGTAACTCTATATTTTAAAATAAACTCCAAATTTTTATGACCATTTTTCATCATCATTCTAAAAAAATGATGAATTTTAGTCATTACTTAAAATCAATTTTATGACCAGTAATCATCATTTTCAAAAATGAATTTCAGTCTTACTCCTGACTGCTTTGTGTTGATGCAATTATAGGTCAAATTAATCACCAATCATTCACAATAGTAAACATGGTTAATCACTTTTTATTCACATTAACTTTATTTTTTGCATAATTACATGAGACCATTTGGCTCCCAATAATTTCATTCTCTTGTATAGATTAATTCAAGAAACAATAATCTAAATTTGTGAAAATGTTTTCTCACTTATAAATACCAAATAACTACCTCGCCACAGCATAGGGTAAATAAGGTGTCGCGAAAATTTGGTGACCTTCAGAATAAATTCAAGCAGAGCATAGTAAAAGTAATTTAGTTACTGGCTCTCCACAGAAAATGTCAGGTTGATCAATCCTACAAAAGGTAAAGCCCTTTTTTTTAATAGAATTTATCAACTTGACATATTTTTGTAGAAGGTAAGTTACACACTTAACAGATTTATTTAGCAAAGGACCAAAATACAGTTGAATTTTGTGCTTTGAACTTCATTCTTAGCTTGTACAGGCAAATCTCCTATGACTTGTGAATCTCGTACATCCTATGGCTTGCTTTCATGTTGTTTTTACCCCACCATGTTGCCATCTAAATTTTGTTTTATCTCTCTCTCTCTCTCTCCATGGTAATAAATTGAAGCCTGATTTGAGCCCCCACAAGACAAACTGTTGAGGCATCAAGACCAAACTGATATATTTGCTTACAGAGATGTTTCTTGAAAGCCTGTGGCTTGATGACCTTCTGACAACGTTCACACATGACCAGGTAAAATTCATCCTGTGATGGACAGGTTCCAAACATGTGCATATCTGAAAAGAAAAACAAAGTATAAATCATTTCTATCTCATAGTGCCAGTAAAATGTCTAAAGTTAAAGTATACAAAATTTTTGCATTACTTTTGTAAAACAAATAAATGAAAGGAAAAAAGAGTTGTATTGACCTAGTATTAAAATGAATATTTAGTTTGTAATAATTAAAGATGGGAATAATTCATAAAAGATGAAAAACACAAATTAAATCTATGATTGCTGACATTTAAAATTCAAAATTTTATCTGGTCTGGCGTGTTCACCTGAGTTTCTCAAAAATATGAATGGAACAAAAGTTTACTTCTTATGTAAGACATATGTAACAAACAATCACAAAATTTTTTCTGTTAATTATGCTGGAGGATTTTTCTAAACCCACTTCTCTGAGAATTGACATGATTTTTGTCACGTATAAGTTTTCAACCTTTTTTTAAAAGATTCATAAAATATTTGCATGCACTTGCAAACTTTACCCTCGGAAGGCAAACGCATGCTATCAGTGTCATCGCCATCCTTTTCTGTGGCGTCAACAGTCTCGTGTTCTGGAAGATAGAGGTAAAACATAACGACAAGTCGCAAAAAGCAATTTTTTCGTGAATCACGGATTCGGAATCAAATGAATTGATACAAATACTTAGGAAACTGTTCTTAATATAAACAACTTTATTCAAACATCTTCATATTTATATTCCTATCTTACCCTCTAATGGTGACAAAGGGGCATTTTCGGCCCATTCGGACCAAGATTTGCCAATAAATAGCGACGGACTATCGTCCAGGGTCGCCATTTTGCACTTTCTTGTTGCTTTCTGCCAATCCGGAGAATCCCGAAATATGATGACGTCAAGTTCGTACTCTTTCGCAGAAAAAGCTAACAGACTTCCGCTTATATCATTCACAAAAATGATTACAATACTTTCATATTTTGGAGGTTAATGGCATATATTTGAGATTTCGAGCATTAAAATAGTTCATCTCCATACGATTTTATGCACCAATTCCTTATTACAACTTTTCAAAACTATTAATAAAATTCCCGGCATCAATATTGATGTAAGCGACCATATGGAAACAATCACGTTGTAAAGGTTGTTGAAATGGCAGTGAATGATGGTAAGTTTTATTTGAAGTTTTGAGGAAAAATAACATTTTTTATGTAACTCGAGCAGAAAATCAATAAAAAGAAGTATTTTGGCCTAAACGATACGAGCCAGAATTGAATGACACCGGTGAAATAACTAGTGGAATAATGATAGTGGTTTGTTTTATCCTACCATAGTTAGAATAATCTAACTGTGTCTCGGGACAAGCCCTCACCACAGTTAGAATACGTCCCATATACTTGCAATGTAGCAAATCGGAGTGGATCCACTCCGAAATGATTTTGAAGAATACAAAAGGAGTTGTACTGAAAATAACTACCAAATCAATCAGGTTGGGCACACCCCACCAAATGGTCATTTATCCCCCGTTTGGTGGACAATCTCCCATATCGGAGACGAATTTTACTGACCAAATGGTGGACTTCTTTATTCTATTCCAAATTTTATTAAAATAAAGTAAAAGCGCATTTACTTAGACATTGGGGAATTTTAGTGAACATATTCGTCGCACAATTAACATAGTTCGGTCGATTTCCCATGTGCAATTTCTCCATAACTTCCTAAAAACGATACCCATAGTTGTCCGTAACAGCCGAACTTCTTGATCACTCAATCAAAAAAAAAATTGATTGTGTCTAGTAGGATAAAAATTCTATTTTATCCAGTGGTTGAACTCTTGATAAGTTAAGTTTCAATTGCTTTTTGGATCTTCGTCAATATTTATTTCCATAAAATCCCGTTACACGTTGAATTTCCGATTTTTTTCACTCTAAACACCGATAAATATCTATATTTTATTCCACATGGTTTAAAATTATGCGCCATTCCACGCCATTCTATGGAATTGAACACAACCATTTTTCTCTCCCAAATGGTCAGTAAAATTCGTCTCCGATATGGGAGATTGTCCACCGAACGGGGGATAAATGACCATTTGGTGGGGTGTGCCCAACCTGTTAATCATAACAAACCTTTTTGAGATTGTATATGCCTTTTAACCTAAAAAATAATCCATATATATACGAAAATTCAACTCATTTTCTCAACGATTTTTCCTCGCTTCAAATTTAACGCCATGTTGACATTCGGAACTCTCTGGATTGTTCATAGAAAATGCACAGAGTTCGAGTTATCGCCCGTGTTTATTTTGCTACATTGCGAATACACGGAATGAATTCTATCGTTAAACCGACTCCGCAGGACAATATCATTTTAACGATAGAACGTTCTATCTAATCCTACCACAGAGGCTAGAGGTTCACAAACTATCTTCGTTATACAAAAATTTTAGAATATTTTCACCACGTCAGGGGTACAAAGACCAATCCCTATTGTTTGTTTAAATTAAACGCAAATTAAGTTATGCTTTTTAAGAGAACGTCAGAGGGAAATTAAAGGTATTCAAGCAAAACATATTGTGCATATGTTTGATAAAGTTACAGATATAAAAATTTCAATATTCCGACAGCAATTTGGTCCATAGTGGTTTCAAGATGGTGTATCATTAGCTGCAATGAATATCAGACACCTCGGCCCAACGACACCTCGGCCCATTGACATTTCGGCCCAATGACATCTCAGCTCAGACAGGTCGGCCCAATAATTAAGACAGGTCGGCCCATGCATAAGACACCTTGGCCCAAGCAAAATTTTACTATGAAATTATATCCCGATATATATTTCCAATTTTTGGAGTTGAATTAAATATTTGATTGAAAAAAGTACATGAACATGATGAATAAACCATCAAGATTTAAAAAAAAAAGAAGACCTTCCACGAACACATTGATGATATTGAAGGAATGAGAAGACAATGCTAGTAATTAAGGTGCTAATTGATAAACAAACAGAATGCTGCGGCGCATCCTTTGGAGGGTCAAGTGTGTGTTATATTGATGACAACAGGGGGATAATTACAAGCAGGCTTAAATGGGAGACAGTAATTAAATACATTTAGATCCAATGAATATATGTTCTCATTTATTTCTTAAGAAAAACACTTCCATTCATAAAATTTATTATCGTCGCTTATAACTAGTTCGAGTCCGGGTTTTTTTCCAGGCTACTTGTATCAAAGCAAGTGTGTGTGCTTTTCAAAAAAAGAAACATACAATTAAGTACAGACCAATAATGCAATTTATTTTACGTGTTTAAAATATATATCTTGATACGATAATTTATCTAGACACATAGATCTATATAAATTTCTTTTTTTAGGGGGGGAGGGGAGGTTAATACAAGAGTAACGGTCGCTATCATGATATTGCAGAAGAAACAACATTTTCCACAAGAAATAGATGTAAAATGAAAGACTGTAGATATGTTAATTTTTCTCCATCATAAAATTTTGCTTGGGCCGAGGTGTCTTTTATATGGGTTGACGTGTCAACAATCTTGGGCCGACCTGTCAGGGTCGAGATGTCAAGCGTGACGGGCCGAGGGGTCCATGGGTCGAGATGTCTGTCTACCGCTGCAATAATGTAGCCCTCTCCTATTTTTTTTTTATCTGATGTTTTCAGGAGAGGGTTACAATTCCACAGGATCTCGGTAATGGTGCAAATATATTTTTTGAATATGGACAACTGCAAGCAAAATTAAATTGCTTTCACATCCAACTTCCTTCCAGTAAGATTGATTCTTTACTCATTACCAACAACCTAGCCCTGTATATGCTAAAAAAGGTAAAATAAATCTGCGTCATGAGTGCATGTTACCAATCGTCTTCCTCAGCTCCCATGAGAGTTCTCGCATGATGTACTGAGACTTGCTTTTGAAATTTAGAAAGGCTTAATAAAGTAAATATAGGTGTCCTTTGGAGGGTCAAGTGTGTGTTATATTGATGACAACAGGGGGATAATTACAAGCAGGCTTAAATGGGAGACAGTAATTAAATACATTTAGATCCAATGAATATATGTTCTCATTTATTTCTTAAGAAAAACACTTCCATTCATAAAATTTATTATCGTCGCTTATAACTAGTTCGAGTCCGGGTTTTTTTCCAGGCTACTTGTATCAAAGCAAGTGTGTGTGCTTTTCAAAAAAAGAAACATACAATTAAGTACAGACCAATAATGCAATTTATTTTACGTGTTTAAAATATATATCTTGATACGATAATTTATCTAGACACATAGATCTATATAAATTTCTTTTTTTAGGGGGGGAGGGGAGGTTAATACAAGAGTAACGGTCGCTATCATGATATTGCAGAAGAAACAACATTTTCCACAAGAAATAGATGTAAAATGAAAGACTGTAGATATGTTAATTTTTCTCCATCATAAAATTTTGCTTGGGCCGAGGTGTCTTTTATATGGGTTGACGTGTCAACAATCTTGGGCCGACCTGTCAGGGTCGAGATGTCAAGCGTGACGGGCCGAGGGGTCCATGGGTCGAGATGTCTGTCTACCGCTGCAATAATGTAGCCCTCTCCTATTTTTTTTTTATCTGATGTTTTCAGGAGAGGGTTACAATTCCACAGGATCTCGGTAATGGTGCAAATATATTTTTTGAATATGGACAACTGCAAGCAAAATTAAATTGCTTTCACATCCAACTTCCTTCCAGTAAGATTGATTCTTTACTCATTACCAACAACCTAGCCCTGTATATGCTAAAAAAGGTAAAATAAATCTGCGTCATGAGTGCATGTTACCAATCGTCTTCCTCAGCTCCCATGAGAGTTCTCGCATGATGTACTGAGACTTGCTTTTGAAATTTAGAAAGGCTTAATAAAGTAAATATAGGTGTCGATAAATACTTGTGTTGTGTGGTATCACTAAACATCGATGAATAAAAGCATTCCATATGAAATATTTTTCACAAACAGTGATATTTATGCTTTAAATAAGTGAATTCCTAAATAGATCAGCTCCTAGATCTCAAATTCTCATTGGCTGTCCCAAAATAAAATCCATCAAAGTCAGTAAACATGTCATTAGTCATTTACTGATGATTTGAGTCAAAATCAGTGCAGGAGTGTATCACTCCCGCACTTGCTCCATTTCGTAGATCCTAAGGAGTTGAACGCCCTCTCAAAAAAAAAAAAAAATGTAGAGGGCTACATTATTGCAGCTATTGTATTGTGTGTTTTTCTATGTCTGTCTAAATACACAGATCATAATAAAAATTGAAAATCACTGAAATGAGAAGGTTATTAAATTAAAATCATATTTCAATGTACATAAACTAAATACAAGTGTCGACAGTCACCATTTTGGATTCCAGAGGGTGTCTCGGTTCACACTTGACTTTAATCAAGATCTAGCTTTGAAAATGGTTGAATAACTCCTTCTATCATCTGCAGATAAGCACATGCCATATAAAACATGCAGTGAACCAAAATGTCCTTGATTCCTAGCACTGATCTCGAAAGCAGTGGAAGTGATGATTTGTAACTATTTAATAAACTGTAGAGGTGTCTTGAAATTGCACAGAAAGTCAAGAGAGAATTAGTTTGGCACTGTTCTTGTTCCTGTTCTTGTCAGTCCAGTTCCTCTGAAACCCTTCAATAGAATTTCATGAAACTTAAAAATTAGTAACTTAAGTAAGAACATACTGTGTAGATTAGCTGCAAGTCTGAAAAAATGGATGGAGAGCTACAGTGCCACCCATTGAAAAAAGAGTATATTTACTGCACACAAAAAAGTTTTTGTTTGTTGATTTATTTCTCTGTATATATATGCTGTCATCTCAAAATATTACTTACCATGTGTTTCTAGCATATATTCATATACTACTTCCACAACAAAACATTCCCCAAAACCATTTTAATAACCATCCTGGGACTGAAATTGAGACCATTAAAAATTTCACATATTTATACTGCTACTTTGGGTGGCAAGACAATTCTGTCCAGGCACTTCATGGATGACTTGTACAGACAGTTTGTTGTTGAAGTAGGAAAAGAATATGTTCTAGGAATACATGGTATTTTGAGTTATACAGAGAAATAAATAAAGAAACAGGACACTTTTTTATGCACAATAAATATATACTTTTTTCAGTGGGTGGCTTTGTAGCTCTCTGGTTGTTCATCCCAATTTTTTTCTGACCATTGAGCTACAGATTTGCAGATATGTGTAGATGTGCATATATTTACAGGACATAAGTTGTTTAGATGTGCATAGTTGCAGGAAACTGATTCATTTTTTTTCTGGGAGTTTTGCCCCTTTTAAACTTAGAAAGTTTGACCAAAATTAAATATGTACCAATAAAACAGTTTGTCAGTTCAACTTCTTTGAAACTGCGTAATTAACAGAATTTCATGTTACTTTGTAGTTAATGTGGAAATATTGTGTAGGTGTGCACATTCATAGGAAATTCTAATTTCATTTATTTCTGAAAGTTATGTCCCTTTTAAGCATTGAAGATGGTTACATATTATTATATGCAACTTGTGTGTGAAACTGGTTTAGTACATATGCATCATGATTTTATTGACAAAGAGAAGCTTTTTTTTCATTTGATGATGCACCTTCAGATATTACAGACAGATTTGATGTGACAAACATAAATTTGTAAAAAGGAAAGGGGGAGGGGGGGTTAAATAGTCATTATATTTAATGCATAGCATTGCCATTCATTATGTGTAGCAATGTGGGAGCATTGGGTATGTGAACTTGCTCACTTTTTCTTTCATGAAAATGGTTGCCTGTCTGTGTCACAGCTTTAACAGTCCTGATTATATTTATAGACGAAATAATCAAGAGGAGACTGCTGTATGAGGGAGATGGAGGAAATGATGACAAGCGAATTAATAGCCTCCTTAAGACTTTCATTCGATGGTGCAACTCATCAGAATCTCCAGAGGAAAAGTAAGCTATAATAAAAAATCATATGACCAGGTACAGGATAATTTGTTCTACCATTGGATAATATGTTCCCAGCACAGGATAATAATTCCTCACCATAAGATAATGTTTTCCCACCGTAGGAACAAACCATAGGATGATATGACCATTAGATAATATGACCCCAAGATAGGATAACAGGTTTCCATCAAAGTATGATATATTGTACCCACCATTCGACAATAATGTCCCCAACACAGGCATTTGTTTCCCCCCATAGAATAGAAATGATTATACATGTACAAGGTATCTAACTGCAAATTTATAACATGGTATTAGAAGCTTTCAAGAATTGAAGTCATTTTTGCTGTTTACTACTATTCTTTTCTATAGTAATTTTTCTACAAGATCATTTATGGGCCATGCTTACCTTTATTGTTTTCTGTCTGCATAAATGCTGACTTGAAAACTCATTTTACACAACCAGTCACTCTGTCCTTGTCTTCGGCAGAATGAAAAAAACGTGTCGAAAAAATCCATCTCTGTGTTAACATATTTGAAATAGATAAATAAAATTTCTTAAACATGTTCAACAAGTATATCATGAAACTACAGCTTCATCATTTGACCAGTTGACAGGGGATGCTTACTTCTCCTAAGCACCTGATCTTCTGGAGGCTCATGTTTTTGCCCTGTTCATGATTCATTTTGTTTACTGAATTTATGAGATGATCGATCACTGTTCGTTATCCTCTGTTCATTACTATAATAATCTACAATATTTTACTGATGTAATTTTAGACACAGCTTGCTTAGCCAATCAAAATCCAAATACATATTCTACCGGAGACTAGAACATAGCTTTTAATGGTGTGAAACAAGTTTTCCAGTCAGTGAGACAGTAATATTTAAACACTGTTTATACAGGCAGAAAAAAACAAGGCAAGCTAGTCATAATAATTTTGCAGATATAAGTACATGTACTGTAAAAGAGGATGTTAATAATCTCAATACTCAATACTTGGGAGCGTAGTATTCCATTTAATTTAGAGTTGCATAGTTTGTATGTTAATTATACTATGGGGTAAACTTTTTAAAGAATCAAATATATGTGGATTTGAGTAAAGGGTAATATTATCATAGGAAAGTATGATTTTAAAATAGGATATATGACATTGTCATGATAGTTTGATATGGCCTCAACATCATAAACATCAGAAAATATGTCCACAGCATAGGAAAATATGCACCACCATAGGATAATATGTTCCCAACATAGGATATGTCCCCTCCATAGGATAACATGTTCCCACAATAGGATAATATATCCCTACCATCATGGCCATAGGATTTAATATTTTTTATTCATCTTTATTACTTTTGATGATTTCTTTGAACAAATTGTGAATTATGCTGTGGTTTTTAAATGAAGAATAAATGTAGAATAATATTGAACTTATTTGAACCCCCTTCCTCTCCATTGATGAAGCCTTTGAGGGAATATACAGGCATTTGTCTGTCTGACTGTCATTTTATCCACAGACATAATTTTAAACTAATAGTTTTGCTTTGGGTGCTATATCTGACCTATAGTGTATGTACGAATGATTCAGATTAAGCATATCACTTAAATTTTCAAAATTGTGAATCCAGTGATGGTCGAGTGCTTAATTACATGCACTGAATGCAGACCTGTATTTCCTTCATTAGTGATACTGGTAAAGAATAGTTTTTATATCATTATGTATATGTGTGTTCTTGGAAGAATGATGATGTTAGTCTCATTAATCATGTTAATAAAGCTAAAAGTAATTACTATTTAATAAGTAGTAGAATGAATAATTTCACACCTTTACCTTGCCATCGTCAGAAGAGTTTCCTTGATTAATTACAAAGTGAGGTCAAACGACAATCAAAACATTAATTCACTAATCTTTTTATGTTAAAAAAGAAAAAGTTATATATTTATTATTTTACTCAAATGATAAAAGCTAAAGAATAATTAGATTATTCTTTGTTGTTGTAGCTCTTTGGGGTTTGAAAGAATGATGGCAACCCTGACTCAGTGTGAACACACAATGGAGAAGTCTTTACTGGTGTACAACATGAACACAAGGGAACAGGAAAACTACAACCAGCTAAATCAGCAAATAGGTCACTACAACAATAATATATACAACCAGCTAAATCAGCAAATAGGTCACTACAACAATAATATTTACAACCAGCTAAATTCATAAATAGGTCACTACAACAATAATATATACAACCAGCTAAATCAACAAATAGGTCACTACAACAATAATATATACAACCAGCTTAATCAATAAATAGGTCACTACAACAATAATATATACAACCAGCTTAATCAGCAAATAGGTCACTACAACAATAATATTTACAACCAGCTAAATCAGCAAATAGGTCACTACAACAATAATATATACATCCAGCTGAATCAGCAAATAGGTCACTACAACAATAATATATACAACCAGCTAAATCAGCAAATAGGTCACTACAACAATAATATATACATCCAGCTAAATCAGCAAATAGGTCGATACAACAATAATATATACAACCAGCTAAATCAGCAAATAGGTCACTAAAACAATAATATATACAACCAGCTGAATCAGCAAATAGGTCACTACAACAATAATATATACAACCAGCTAAATCAGCAAATAGGTCACTACAACAATAATATATACAACCAGCTAAATCAGCAAATAGGTCACTACAACAATAATATATACAACCAGCTTAATCAATAAATAGGTCAATACAACAATAATATATACAACCAGCTAAACCAGCAAATAGGTCACTACAACAATAATATATACAACCAGCTTAATCAATAAATAGGTCAATACAACAATAATATATACAACCAGCTAAATCAGCAAATAGGTCACTACAACAATAATATATACAACCAGCTAAATCAGCAAATAGGTCACTACAACAATAATATATACAACCAGCTAAACCAGCAAATAGGTCACTACAACAATAATATATACAACCAGCTTAATCAATAAATAGGTCACTACAACAATAATATATACAACCAGCTAAATCAGCAAATAGGTCACTACAACAATAATATATACAACCAGCTAAACCAGCAAATAGGTTAACTACAACAATAATATATACATCCAGATAAATCAGCAAATAGGTCACTACAACAATAATATTTACAACCAGCTAAACCAGCAAATAGGTTAACTACAACAATAATATATACAACCAGCTAAACCAGCAAATAGGTTAACTACAACAATAATATATACAACCAGCTAAACCAGCAAATAGGTTAACTACAACAATAATGTATACAACCAGCTAAATCAGCAAATAGGTCACTACAACAATAATATTTACAACCAGCTGAATCAGCAAATAGGTCACTACAACAATAATATTTACAACCAGCTAAATTCATAAATAGGTCACTACAACAATAATGTATACAACCAGCTGAATCAGCAAATAGGTCACTACAACAATAATATTTACAACCAGCTAAATTCATAAATAGGTCACTACAACAATAATGTATACAACCAGCTGAATCAATAAATAGGTCACTACAACAACAATATTTACAACCAGCTGAATCAGCAAATAGGTCACTACAAAATAATATGTAGGTAACTATAGAAAACACAGCAAGTACATGTACGTGTAAATGCAGTCGAATAGGTAACAGCTTGCAGATATACTGAAATGGTATCCACAGCATACATGTGTAGGGAAATTCACAGGAAACAAAATTGAAGATCTTAAGTTTTGATATTTTTAAATCTCTTGGAAGAAGGATGAATTTGACTTTCCTACTTTGTTTTTTACAGAGGCAAAGATAGAGGAAGCCAAAGAAAAGATTTCAGAATGTAAAAATGAATTATCACAGGCCAAACGCATCCGTAAAAATCGACAAGGTATGGCAATTCTCAGTTAAAAATATGCATTATTGTACCCCTGCAATGAAGCTGTGGAGGTATAATACTGGAAAACACCGTGTCCATTTCTCTATCTAGCTGTCTGTCTGTATAGCAGTAGATGCAAGGTTAAAGTCATAGCATATACATATGTAGATCAATTTCCAGCTTATCTCAAGGGATATCCAAATCAAATGTGCAATATTGTGCATATGTGGATACTTTATGAGATGCATGCTTTGAATGCACCTGCAGAGCTCTTCAGGGAGGGGGGATAACTGTTGTGTCAAAATGTTACTTGTTTGTCTCTTAAGATTAAAATCTGTTATATGTACATGTAGAGCCTTGTTCAGGGTGTGTAATCTTGAAAATCAAGTTTGAATTTCATTTTATGGCATACCAGCTAGATGTGGATAAAATTAAATACACAATTATAATTGTACAGTCATGTACTTGAAATTTATGTTAACATAATTCTTTCTGTATGGTTCAAAGGAAGAAATGTTGTTGCTTTTATTAGAGAAAAACAAACTATTATAAAACAAACCCAACTGTACCCATTCTCCCAGATTATTTGAAGTTAAACCAGTAGAGCTTCAGTCTCATCGGAGACTTTCAGGGTGTCATAATAATTATGACTAATCTATTTTTAGAGTATGATGCTTTGGCTAGAGTGATACAGCAACACCCAGATAGACAAGATACAATGAAGTAAGTTTTAATGTTAATGCTTTTTTATTAAGTGCATCAAAATTATTAGGGAAATTAGGGATAAGCAGCTATAATAATTACTTGAAGGGTCTTGTCAGAGAAAATAAATTATCATTAAAGTTTTTAGCTCACTTAAGCCAAAGGTTGCTCAAGTGAGCTTTTCTGGACCAAATTCAACCAAACTTGCCACAAACCATCCTTGGTGAAAGGGATTCAAGTTTGTTCAAATGAAGGGCCACATCCTTTTTGAAGGGAAGCTAATTAAGAAATAGTGAACATTTGGAAAGGTCATTTAAAAATCTTCTCAAGAACCACTGGGCCAGAAAAGATTAAGATTCCTGACATACTGTAGATTCAAGTTTGTTCAAGTTTGTTCAAATCATGGCTTCTGGGGATATGGTGGGGTATCAATGGGGATCAAAGTTTTACATGGAAATATACTGGAAAAATGTTGCAAAATCCTCTTCTTAAGAACAGCAGGGTCGTTAAGTGATATTAATATGCAAATATCATCAGGTAATGCAGGTTCAAGTTTGTCATGATGGCCATGTTTAGTGATACTATTATTTGCAAGCATCTTTAGGTAGTGCAGATTTAAATTTGTTCAAATCATTGTGCTCAAGGGTAGGACGGGGCCACATTGGGGATCAAACTTTTCCGTTTGAATATATAGGGGGAAAAAATTAAAAATCTTCCTTTTAAGAAAGGCAAGGCCATGATTAGTCATATTAATATGCAATTATCCTCAGGTAGTGCAGATTCAGAGTTCAACTTTGGTCCCTGTAAGTAAGGTGGGGCCACATTAGGGGATCAGATTTTTATTTGTGTGTGCAATGAAAATGAAAAGAATCTTTTGAGGAGGGGACAACCCAATGGAATTTCTTGATAAGCAATAAAAAGTTCATCAGATGATATATTCAAGGGGGCACAACTATAAGTTAGCTTAGTTTTCTATTATTCAGTATATTGTGGCAAAATTATTGAGTGGGTAAACTGTTAATTAGCTTAGTTTTCTATTGTAAAATATATACTTGCAAAACTATGGTGGGGGGTTAAATTTGCAGGTGTATAGTTTCACATTTTTAGCTCGCCTGAGCCAAAGGCTCAAGGGACCTTTTCTGATCAAAATTTGTCAGATGTCTGTTGTTGTTGTTGTCGTTAAGTTTTCACAATTTCATCTTCTTCTCCAGAACCACTGGGCCAATTTCAACCAAACTTGGCACAGAGTATTCTTGGGTAAAGGGGATTCAAGTTTTTTCAAATGAAGGGCCACGTCCTCTTCCAAGGGGAGATAATTACAAAATAGTGAAAATTAATGGCATCTTTTAAAATCTTCTTCTCAAGAACCAATGGGCCAGGAAAGATGAAACTCATGTGGAATCATCATTAGGTAGTATAGATTCAAATTATTCAAATCCTGACCCCCGGGGATAGGGTGGTGCCACAATGGACGATCAAAGTTTTACATAGGAATATATAGGAAAAATCTTTTAAAAAAATCTTCTTCTCAAGAACAGCAAAGCCATGATTGGTCATATTTATATGGAAGCATTCTCAGGTAGTGTACATTCAAGGTTGTTCAAATCATGACCCCCAGGAGAAGGGTGGGGCCACAATGTACGATCAAAGTTTTACATAAGAGTATATAGGAAAAATCTTTAAAAATCTTCTCAAGAACAGCAAAGCTGTAATTGGTCATATTTATATGAAAGCAACCTCAGGTGGTGTAGATTCAAGTTTGTTCAAATCATGACCCCCAGGGTAGGGTGGGGCCACAATGAAAGTTCAAACTTGTAGGAAAAAAGCCACAGTTAGTCAAAGAAATATGTAAGCATCCTTAGTTAGTGTAGATTCAATTTTGTTCAAATCATGACCCCCCTCCCCCTCCCCCTGTTTTAGGGATAGGTCGGGACCACTTACGCATTTAAGCTTTTCAATACTGAACTGATTTTTGCTTTTTTCCTAGCAACAGTGCTCAGGTGAGTGATGTGGCCCATGGGCCTCTTGTTTTCTTTGGTTCATAAAGTGAGTGTTTGTTTCAATACATGAAAAATAACATTGTCTTCAATTTGTATGTATTTTTCTTTTAATATAAATTATTCACTGTTTCTTCAATTTGCGATAATATCAGCATCACAAATATAGCCAAATTAAAAACTGCAAAATACCCTCCCCCTAAACAGAATAAGAACTAGCTAGTGGCTTACTTTAAAAAAAAACTTTTAGGCTTCTAGACACTGAAGTACATGTAATATAAATTTGATTGACACTGGCATTGTTGTTCTGTAGGCAGCTACAAGGATTAGACAAAGACGTGTCAAGTCTGGAGGAGCAGAAAAAGTCTCTAGAACAAAAGGTAAGCTTCAGTGACTCTATGATACAGCAGAAAACATCTCTAGATCAAAAGGTAAGCTTGCATAACTCTACAATACAGCAGAAAACATCTCTAGAACAAATGGTAAGCTTCAGTGACTCTACAATACAGCAGAAAACATCTCTTACAAAAGATAAGCTTGCATAATTAACGACATTAAAATTTCTCTTTTGTATGAGGGTATTGTTTTATAGTATCATCTCAAAGTTACATGTACCTGTGAATGGGATATTAGGACCACAACAACAGTTGATTGTTGGAATATATGTCTGATAAAAATGGTCTAACAAGTTTTATAACTACATTTGCAATCACCCTTGTATAAGATTAAGCCTGACTTTAAATCATGATAGACTTGGACTTGGCATGGAGTCCAAAGTTTTAAATATATCTTTTTGAGTTGGATCATGCAAGATCTAATTTGTGGGATCAAGAGAGAGAAAGAGCCTCTTGTACACTTTAACTTCTTGAAAGCAGACTTTTGTACTTGCAAATTTTTGTACATTGATTACATTAAACTTGAACAATTAAATTTTTCAGCTTGATTTAAGAAGGAAGCAGTTCCATGTTCTGATTGCTGCTATTCATGAGTTAGAGAACATACTGGATGGTGAGATTTGTAACTTGTTTCTTTATACTGTATTGTCCCATTCATTTCCTTTTGTGTAGTTAGAAGGGTCCTTTCCATTTATCAACACTATCATAAGAGATGATCAGTACCTTTTTCTGATTGATATAGTCACTACACAGATAGAGGATGCATAAAGGACCCCTCCCCCTCCCCCCCCCCCCCCACCACCACCACCACCACACACACACACACACACACACACACATTGTTTTCTAGGGAAAGACAAAGATCTTTTTTCTCAAAATAAAAATTGAAACTCTCCTTATTCAATGAGATCTGTCTCTTTCTATTCATTGATTGGATATCTTTGAGATAATCCTCTTCCCATGTCACCCACTTCCCTCACACTGACAAATGCCTACTGGCCAGCCAATCACAGCAATTAATTGTCTTGTCTTTTCTTTTGAAATCAACAAAATTTTTGTGTACTTTAGAGGCCAATGAGTTATTGTCATAATGTTTTCTCTTTGAATTTTCAGAGGATGAAAATAAAGAAGAGGGTGCTGAAAAAATGGATACAAACTGAGGGACTGGTTGTATTCACAAAAATCCGGCAATATTTATTGTTAAAGAAAAGCTACCTTTAAGGTGCATAGAGGGTAACACCTAGAACCCCTGGTACACAAGTTCACTGTGTACCAAGTATTAACTTCTCAAAATTGATCTCAAGTTTGAGATTGTGATGATTCATGATGATTGTGTCCATGAATCCACAGATTAAGCTACAGTTTGTTTTATAGACAAGCATATGTATTTTCATGTATTGTGAAATGTTTTATTAATAAATGTCAAATGCTGTTTAATAGTGGTCAGTAAAATTAAAAATCTGAAGACTTATACATGTATCTGAGTCTTGTTTAATTTGATCACACTGTTATGTAATATAATTGTTAATTCCCCACTCCTTTGAGTGCCCTCGATTGATGAATAAATAATATACATATGTCACATCTGAACTTGTACTAAAACTATTTAACTTTTGAAGTACATGGCAAAGCACCTTCAAGTTGTCAATTATCCCACAACTGCATACATGTATACCACTGAACATTCATGATATCCATATAATAAATGCCTGAATAATAATTTTATATAAATCTGATTCCAAAATTCGATTAACAGGAATTTTCATCATCACATAGTGTTTATTTTATTTCTTGGTAATCTTGTTTTTGAAGGATCCACAGAAGCATACTGTGGTTTCATCACTGTTCGTGGAACACCAATTTACGTGGATTTCGTTGTTGAGTTGATCCACGAAATCAGCTGTTCATCAAAGTTTGATGTCTCCATTTTGATTTATGATAAACCTGCTCAAGTTTAAAAAGCCTATTTCAACTTTCCCTTACTGCTGTACAAGTACATGTATCATAAAATTACACTCACCTTTCCTTGAATAAATATATACATAGAGGTGGAGCTAATATTGTGAGAGAGGGACTAGAGTAACAATGCCATTTACATAGAAAGCTGTTATTGTTTCTCTGTCATATATATAGAGGATATTCAATGTTTTGTAGATGAATATGGAATTTATTTCACGAGTGGGACAGGATTTTTTGATATTTTCACGAGTGCGAAGCACGAGTGAAAATATCAAAAAATCCTGTCTCACGAGTGAAATAAATTCCATATTCATCTACAAAACATTGAATTTTCTGTTTATTACATTTTTCTTTGATTTTCACTTTGCCTCTGTCTTTTCTTAACACAGTGTCATAGGCTTGACGTCATAGTTGAGCGGTTGAGACGTCATAGTTTAGCAGATGTGTGATTGAAAACATTACATAGCATGGATTTTAGCAACATATTTATGAAGAAATTTGCAGTTTTAGCTCTGTCAAGATGCTTAAGTACTATCTCTATCTTATGACAGGCCAGAAATTATTTTTTACTTACTTTGATATCCTTTCACACTGTGAGAGAATATTATTTTGGTATCCTTTCACTCTGTGAGAGAATATCACTTTTATTCAATAAATAAATCACAGTATTTCACTGTTGAAAATGTAATAAATGGCACTAGTTTTTACAAAGGTTTCAAAACGAAATCAACAATACCGGTATTTGCATTTATTACATTTTCAACAGTGAAATAATGTGATTTTTTTATTTATAGAATAAAAGCGATATTCTCTCACAGTGTGAAAGGATACCAAAGTGATATTCTCTCACAGAGTGAAAGGATATCAAAATACTAAGTAAAAAATAATTTCTGGCCTGTCATAAGATAAAGATAGTAACTAAACCATCTTGATAGAGACTAAGACTGCCAATTTCTTCCCAAATATGTTAAAATCCATGCTACGATATTTTCAATCTCACAATTGCTAAGCTATGACGTCTCAACCGCTCAACTATGACGTCACAGCCTATGGCACTGTGTTAATATAAAAGAAAAGACAGAGGCAAAGGGAAAATCAGAGAAATGTAATATAAACTGAAAATTCCATATCCAATTACAAAATATTGAATATCCTCTATTTACATAGTTACAGACGATTGTAGATCAATGCCTGCCTATTTTATGTGTTTAAACACTTCTGCTTAGTTGGAAGAGCTCATTTACGTTTAAAAACTATGCTGCTTTGCACATCATGTGACAGAAATTTGTATTCACAAAGTTACCTGAGGTTAAACATCATGTGGTTATTATTCAACAGGTCACACTGGTCAAAATCACTTGGAAGCAATAGAGACATAGAATGCAAGAAGAAATTTTCCTTTTAAGTTTTTAACCATCTGTGCATTTTTGTTAATAACCTTTGACACGAATTTTATATATTACAAATATATAGCTACTATTAAATAGAGAACAGCAAACATGCGCTGATTATGTATCAAGTCAGTAATAACAAGAGGCCCATGGGCCACATCGATCACCTGTGCACTGTGGCTGGCTAGGAAAAAAGCAGAAATCAGTTCATTATTGAAAAAGTTTAAATACATAAGTGGTCCCAACCTACCCCTAAAAGGGGGGGGGGGGATTTAAACAAACTCTAAACTACCTGGGGATGCCTCCATATCCATGTTACCAATCATTGCTTTGATGTTCTTGAGAAGAAGATTTTTTAAGATTAATTGCAGAAAAATTCAATTGTTCAGTTTTTAAAGATTTTTTTTCCTCGTATGTATTCCTATGTAAAACTTTGATCATCCATTGTGGCCCCACACTACCCCCCAAGGGTCATGATTTGAACAAATCTGAATCTACACTACCTGAGGATGCTTCCATATGAATATGACCAATCATGGCTTCGCTGTTCTTGGGAAGAAAATTTTTAAAGATTTTTCCGATGTATTCCTATGTAAAACTTTGATGGTCCATTGTGGCCCCACCCTATCCCCTTGGGCCTGCTTGGAACAAACTTAAATTTACACTGCCTGAGGATGCTTCTATATATGACCAATCATGGCTTTGCTGTTTATGAGAAGAAGATTTTCCCTATGTATTCCTTTGTAAAACTTTGATCATCCATTGTGGCTTCACCCTTCCCCTGGGGGTCATGATTTGAACAGACTTGAATCTACACAACCTGAGGATGCTTCCATATCAATATGACCAATCATGGCTTTGCTGTGCTTGAGAAGAAGATTTTTAAAGATTTTTCAGATGTATTCTATGTAAAATTTTGATCATCCATTGTAACCTCACCCTACCCCCGGGGGTCATGATTTGAATAAACTTGAATCTACACAATGTAATAAAGGTTTCAGGTAAGTTTCAACTTTTCTGTCCCAGAGGTTCTAAAGAAGAATTTTAAAAATGTTTTCCTATATATTCCTATGTAAAAATTTGATCCCCCTTTGTGGCCCCACCCTACCCCCCAGGGGCCTTGATATGAACGAAAACTGAATCTACACTACCTGAGCATGTTTTCTATATCAATATGACTAATCATGGCTTTGCTGTTCTTCTGAAGATTTTTAAAGAATTTTTACTGTATGTACCCATGTAAAACTTTGATCGTCCACTGTGGCCCCGCCCTACCCCCCTCCCCCCCCCCCCCCCCCGGGGTCATGATTTGAAAAAAAAATTGAATCTACACTACATAGTGCATAATAAAGGTTTCACATAAGTTTCAACTTTTCTGGCCTGGTGGTTCATGAGAAGGTGATGCCACCAAATTTTCACTACTTCTTAATTATCTCCCCTTGAAAGAGGGCATGGCCCTTCATTTGACCAAATTTGAATCCCCTTTACCCAAGGATGCTTTGTAGCAAGTTTGGTTGACATTTTACAGACAATTTACAGACGGACGGACTGACAGACGGACGCCGGACAAAATATGATCAGAAAAGCTCACTTGACCTTTCAGCTCAGGTGAGCTAAAAAGGGTTTACTCATTATTGTACGGAGATTCAAGAAATCGCGATGAACCCCTCCGATGAAAATGGGACTAGATATCACAAAACTATCGTTAGATCTGCATGTCTTAAGATCATTCTGAAGACCATCCCGTCTTCTGACAATCATAAGATTTGCCACTGCCTTTTCACAAAAAACTATCTACAGTATTAATTTGATTATCTATTTTCATGCAGTCAAGAACAGATTATTTATTTCCTTCTGCACTGAAAAAAGTTTGACAAGCAGAAAAAAAACTCTATGTCATGAAAGGGGGGGGGGGTAGTAGCACTAGTCAAGTACAGATTATTTTTCAAAATTTTCGAGGACAGATTTATTTCAAAAATCTGACAGCCCCCCCCCTGCCCCCCACTTCAGAATCAAATAGTCGCCCCCTTAGAAGTCTTGGCATATTTTTCATGCTACTATTTAAAAGGAACTTGCAAAATAAATATGCTTGCTCAAGTTACCTGCTGCTTTTCTTCGTTTGTATTTTTTTTTATAATAGTGAATCTTAAATAATTCAGTAATAAATGATAATTAATTTTTGTAGAGTTTTAATCTCGAAAATAAATGATAATTAATTTTTGTAGAGTTTTAATCTCGAAAATAAATTTTGAATGCACCAACTACAGGGTATCATTCTTTTTTTCTGTTATTTATATATTTATTTATTGAAGGGGGGGGGGGTAAATGACAACTTACTGCCTGTGAACAACTTTCACACAGAACCTGTGTGAGAAAAATAAAGCAATGATAAACATTTGCATGAATGTCCTTGTTTAAAAAAAAAACAAAACAAAACAAAACAAACAGAAGTTTCATTCTGTTGAAAAGATTACTTTAAATTTGATCCACCATAGGTAGAATGTTCTATCTTTAAAATGATGTCCTACGCACCCGGTTTAAGGACATACGCAACATACCTTACCTCCTGATATTTTTTCAAGATATTCTTAATTTAAAAAATCATAGTACCATCAGATATTCGTAGACAAAAAATCAGCATGTATTACAAATGCTTTTGAAAAGATATCAATTGATGAAAATTAAGCCTTGTATAATTCAAAGAAAAATATACAAAAATTACTAAACATATATTCCAGGCCCGTAGGAAGCAAATTCAGTGGGGGGTGGGGGGGCACAGCCATACATTTTCATATATTATCTATCGTTTACTATAGTAGTCTATATATCGGCAAAATTATTGGGGGGGGGGGCACGGTCCCCCCGTGCCCCCCCCCCCCCCCCCGGTTCCTACGGCCATGTATTCTAGATGTTTTGTTTATCCAAACATGTTTTAGATGTGTACAACAGCATATATAGACATTAAAATGTAGCACACAGTTCCTTTGAGTATTGGAACTCTTCAACTCCAGGGGAAAAGACAATAAAGTTCAAACTACGTTGCGTATGTCCTTAAATGTGGTGAATTATTTCAAGAAGATAAGTGTTGTTCTCTTCAAGCTTTTGAAATGAAACTTAAAGG